TTAATTGAAAAGTGATCACTGTAAATGCACTGAGTCAATTCAGGACTTCCGTAGAGTCACAGAATGGCTTGGGTTGGAAGGGACCTTAAAAACCACCCAGTTCCATCTCCCCTGCCATGAGCAGGGACACCTTCCACTAGACCAGGCTGTTCAGAGCAATCCAACCTGGCCTTGGACACTTCCAGGGATGGGGCAATTATAACTTCTCTGGGCAACCTGTTCCAGGGCCTCACCACCCTCACAGGGAAGAATTTGTTCCTAATATCCCACTAAACCTACTCTCTGTCAGTTTGAAGCCATTCCCCCTTGTCCTGTTACTCCATGACCTTGTAAAAGAGCCTTTCTTGTGGGCTCCCTTCAGGCACTGTAAGGCCACAATTGGGTCACCCCAAAGCCTTCTCTTCAGGCTGAAGAATTCCAATTCTCTCCGCCTTTCCTCCCAGCAGAGCCGCTCCATCCCTCTGATGAACTCGGTGGCCTCCCCTGGACTTGCTCCAACAGCTCCATGTCCTGGCTGTGCTGGGACCCCAGAGCTGGAGGCAGCTCTGCAGGTGGGGTCTCACCTGAGGGGGCAGAGGGGCAGACTTTCCCCCTCCCCTGCTGCCCTCGCTGTGGGATCAGCCCAGGACATGGGGGCTTTCTGGGCTGGGTCATGTCCAGCCTCTCACCCACCAGCACCCAAATCCTTCTCCCCAGGGCTGCTCTCGACTTGTTCATCCCCCCAGCCTGGATTAATACCAATATTTTATATTGATGCTGTATATATACCAATATATTATAATTCATATTTACAACTTCTTTCAAAGAAGTGACACTTAAATAGAAAAGGAGGAGTCAATCCATAAGTTTCTACTATATTATAATCAATACTGTTAAAGCATTAACTGTGTCAGTTTTGAAGGTATTAATAACCAAAAGAATAATTTTTTAAAATTCAGAAAATAAAATTATGCTTTAAATAATCTCATACTTTGTAAATAAATAGTAGGGATGGGCAAATGTTTTCATCAAAGATGTTAAGAAATCAAGAGCAATAGAGATCTTAAATCTGACACATTGCTATGCTGCTTTAGTAACTCCCTGTTATCCATTCTGGGTTTTTTTTCCATTTTGGTGACAGGATCTATTTGCTGAGGCACTATAATATCAGACTCACTGTCACTTTGAAAATAATCAGCCACACAGCATTATTTTTATAATTAATTCCTGACTTCAGTGAAAAATGTGATCTCATCTATGATACAATCCATAACAATTATAACCTTATTTTGAAATTAATGAATTTTCCGATTCAAGCCAACCAAGTTTGTGGGTATATATATACCAACAGTCAGATCTGATTATATTGCCTAGCAGAGGACTGCCCAGTAAGCTTTCTGAGAACTATCAGTATTCTTCATGTCTATTCCAAAGTTTGCAGTGTTTGTAACTCAGTAGTAAGCAACAAAGCCAACTGTACATATTTATGTATCATTACATATTATGTTACCACACCAAGAGCCACTTGCACCTTCTATAATTTTCTAAGTAGAAATTGTATACAAATAAGATTTATCAACTGCACCTAAATCCTACTAACAAAACTAAGTACCAGAACAGTTGAAACATAACTCCTAACTTTCTTTCATAATTATTCACTGTTGCAACCTCTTTTAAAAACCATAGCTGCTGGTCTAAGGCTATTTGTGATGTATGATCTGCTACTCAAGAGCAAAAAATTCATTAGGTAATATTAAAATTAAAATTTCTCACCAAACAGCAGAACTGTTGGGAGGAGGCAAACCCAGTTCTAACAATAGAAATGTAAGGCTTTAATTGCAGCAGAGCACCTGTTGTACCTGACTCCTTGTGAACTGCTCCTGCAGGTGTTTACCTACATGGAAATGAGCAGTCCCATTGCCTTCCCTCAACTACTCCCATTCAAAGATAATCATGATGACTCGGTAGAGCATCAGAACAATACACAGCTGGCTGTTCAAAAGCTGTGTTCAACCTTTCATAACTCCCAAACCCAAGTTTACTACCAGCTTGACCCCATGACACGGCATTTTCCTCTCTGGAAACCTGCACTCTGCAGGCTCAGAAAATGGGAACTGAAAGCTTCTTCAGACCTGTCACTAGTTCACTATGAAGTACTTTAAAGCAGCACCTATAGCAAGAAGTCCAGGAAGACAAAGCAACAGGGGTGCTCCCCAGGTGCTCCCCAGGAGAAATGTCTCTGAAAGCAGCAGTAAATGATGGCAGAATATGCCCAAATCTACAAATTGATGCTACTACCTGCATCTCCCACTCTGACAGCTTGACACAGCCCTGGGAAAAGAACGGGATGGAAAAGCTGCTCACTTCCCCCAGTGTGTAATAGCTCTGTTCAGCCTTCTAATGGACAAACTAGAAGTTCAGCTCTTCAGTTAAATTGACTGTAGCAGATTGGGTCTTTGCAATTACTCCCAAAACTTGTACTGAGCACAAAGTATTGTAAGGATTTTCTCCTGTTCCTTTGGTGTGAGACAATTGACCACAAATAGTCTTCCTGAATGCAAATTCAGCCTGAAATCTGAGAAGCAGGCCAGTTCTCTCATTTCTCATATCATCACAAGTAATAAAAATATCCAAGTCAAATTTTGCCATCAGCCATACTGTGTGTTCCAAAAAATGAAAAAAAAGCAAGCAACCCCCTGTTTCCTAACAATCTGCACAACAGCAGTCAGATTTTAATTATGTACTTGCAGAGAGGATAAAAAATTGTGGATGATGCACAGATACAGTAGTCTGATATTTTCTTGAGTCACTACAGTAAACATTTTTGTTAGTAAAGAAAATAATGCAAAGTAGATACACCTAATGAAGACTTCTCTTTGTATAGGAGTTTTCGCGACAGAACATTTCATCACACCACTATAAATACATGGTTAAGAGGTGAACACAGAGAAATCGCTTTATCCACTGCTGGAATACAGTGGCTATATAACATTTCATGGAAAAACTCCAATTTGAGGAGGACCGTACCATCTCTATTTGAAATTGAAAGGACAATTCAAGTAAGTAGAATAATATAATTATGTAACTTGGGATTTTGCCAGACCATCAAGCTTAATACTTCATGAAGCTTCTCAGAACACTGAAATGGATCTTTAATAACCAGAAAAGCTCAGGACCTTTACTGTAAGGTCTCGCCGGGGGTCCGGTGTGATGCTGGGCAGGGGCACTCGCAGGCAGGAGTTGTTCCTCCCGCACCGCAGCCCCGCACCGGGTTCCTCCAGCTGCTCCTCGCTCCCTCCTCGATTAATTCGCCCTAAACTGACAATCACACTGACTTGAAGAGCCTGAAATATTTAACAGATAAGCTGAAGCAAGAGAATGACCTTTTCTAACAGGATATACTGACCTTTGAAAGTTGTAGAAAGCATTTAACATTCAAACACATAGCACCAAACCACAAGGAAACCAGAGCTTCACCTCGCACAATCATGTTCGACACTGTAGTGAGCTGCCCTACTCCTTAAGCAGACGTGATCGCTAGTTGCAATTATGCACATGATTTACAGTTTGCAAAATATGTTGGGTCTATCGAGTTGTTTCCAAATCGCTTCCACACGGTGCTTGCGCGCGTGGGGCACCTGCAGGTTCAGATCTGCATCACTGTGCAGGACCGCGATGGGGAGAAGGGAAAACCTGACTTTGGACCTCCTCCGTGCTGGGACCGCGGCCGGAGCAGCTCCCGGGCTCAGGACACCCGCACGGCAGCTCCTGCAGGGGCCGGGCCGGGCCAAGAGCTCCCGCACCGCTCCTGCCCCCTGAGCAAACCTTTAACACGCTCCGTGCACATCCCCTCGCTTCAATACTTCTGGAGCTTGAGCGAAAGCTCTCAGCTTTGCCTAATCGGCAATTCTAGGGAGGAGACATCCTGTAGGAAATACACAGCGATACTTCAACCCGTGCTGCCTATGGGAGATTTGAAAACATCTCTAAGGGACTAACATGTGTTGCTATAATTTTACACGTAGCCTATGGGCACTACAGCCTTTCGCGGCCGTGCTCTCGGCTCTCGCCCTCACACTCCTCCATCGCCAGCTCGGGGAGCCCCCGCGGCGGGATCTGCGGCCCGAGAGTTCTCCCTCCCTGCCCGGCGCCCGGGGGTTCCAGTCATCCCTTCCCTCGACACCGCCACCTGCCTCCACCCCGGGCCCTCTTCTTAAGTAACATGTCCCTTCACTAGCTAACCCGATGTGATGGATAACGAGAGGGACGGCAGCCAGGGCAGGCAGCAGGCTAAGTGCGCCTTTTTATTAACTTCTTGTAAAGTAATAGCTCCATTTTAGCTGTCACTCCTGTCAAACAACAGCCGCACAACAGCGTGTGATGGGCTCTTCCCGGAGCTCGAGCCGCAGGCAGCGCACAGCACACTGCGGCCAGGCAGGCACCGGGCACGCCGCACTGCCGGGGCCGTGCGGGCTCCCTGCCACGAGCGAGGGGGCGAGGGGAGGGACGGAAAACGAGGGGAAGAACCGGGTCCCTTTTACCCCACCGGGACCCCACTCAGATCCCAAACAAAGGCCGGCAGCCGGGATTCAGGCTCGCCCGAGCCACCGTGTCCTGGAGAGGGGCCGCACGGCTCGCCCCCTCCGCCCTGCCCGTTCTGCGGGAGGCCAGCACCGCAAAAACGGGAAAATCCCGGCGGACGGCGGGCAGGAGGGGCCTGGGGCGTGAGGCTCGGCGGGGAACCGGGGCGGGGGGACCGAGGTGGGGCCAGCCCCGGCTCCCCGTGGGGACGGGGCGAGCAAGGGTCCTGCCCCAGCGCCCCGTCCGCTGCCGCCCCCACCTCGGTGCCCGGCCGAGCGGGAGGAGCCCCGCGGCCCCGGCGGCTGCGGCTGCTTGCGGGGCTCCGCGGGGGGCGGGCACATGCGTACAAGCGGCTCATCCAGGCAAACACCCCTCACATCTTAAATGAGCTTCATTTGCCGGCAGCCGCTTCAGTCGGGCTGGGAGCTGCCGGGCTGCGCTCCCAGCGCCTGGCGGGGAGCCCCCCGGGGCGGGCTCGCCCCGACGGAGACCCCCGCGCCCCGCTCTCGATGGGACTGAGCGCGGCGGCGGCTCCGCGCTCGGGCGGCGCGGGCGGAGCGCGCCCCGCGGGGGCGCCGGGCATGGCCGCGGGCGGGCGGGGGCCGAGCGGGAGCCTCGGGCACAGCGCCCTCGCGGGGGGCCCCGCCGCGGCCATGGAGCGCCGCTGATCGCCGCCGATCGCCGCCGGGAGACAATGGCCCTGCACAAACTCTGCTCCGTGCTCGAAGGTAGGAGCCGCGGGCGGCGCGGCGCCCTCCGCGGGAGCAGCTGCTGGGAGCGGGAGCCGCGGTACCCCCGGAGCCGCCCGCTCCCTCGGCTGCCCCGCGCTGCCCCCGCCGAGCGCCGGCGGAAACTTTGGAGCGAGGGGCTTGGAGGCTGCGCCGGGGCGGCCGCCCCGCTACTGCTCCTGCCGGGGCTGCTCCGCCCGAGCAGCTGCCCGAGCCCCGCACCGCGTCCCCGTGTTGGTGCGGGGCGGCCCCGGTCCCGCTCCCGCTCTGCCCCAGCGCTGCGGCGGCTCGGGGTTCGGCGCTGGGGTGGGCGCTGCCGGGAGCCCATCGCGGCTTGGGCCGGGGCCCCGCTCCCATCCCAGGCTGCTCTGGCCCCGCTGGGGACACCTCGGTACCTCTGGGGGGGGGGTCCCAGCCTATAGGAACGTGGGTCAAAGGGGCAGCGACCCTGCCCCAGTGCCTCGTATATTACCCAGACGCACCAACAGCATCCTCCGTTCCGGTCTGTTCACTGTAAAAATACTCTTTCTGCTTTCGGAACTCTCCTAACGAGCTGCCCAGCAGTGATCAGCTTATCACACTTGTTATCGGGAGCAAGATCTGTTTTCAGCAAGGTTTTCACAAAATCAGTCGCCACCTGAGTCACAGGCTGCTGCCTGACCGGTATTGACCTGTGCTTTTCTTCTTGAGGCTTTTAAATCTTGTTTCTAACTTCTTTCGGTTCAGAGGTAAACAACTGAGGAAGGCTCCTCATCCGAGCATTTCTTTTGTCTGTGCTGTTATTTATACAGCTCGACAATGGGCGAGGGCTTTCTGTTAGAAAATAAAGCTGGATGTGGCAGTTAACGTTGCGCCTCAAGGGGTTATTTCTAGCATTCTGTATCTACTTGAGCAGTAGCAGACTTGATAGTGATGCAAGTCTATTTTCTATTAGGATTATTATTATTAAATTATTCTGTTAGGAAATTTTGGTGCGACCGTTTGCATTATTGAAGCCAACAAGGCATTACTGCAGGGTGGAGAACTGTTTTGATTATGCATTGATGTCTTCCCACGGTATGAAAGTTGTAAAGAAGTCTGTTTCAAATCCAGAATGTTTTCATGGCCCAGAAAATCCCATGTTCCTGAACTGAAGGATGTATGTCTTTAGGTTTAAATAAATATTTTTCATTTATTAGCATAATAACCGAGAGACAGAAGTTACTTGCTCTCAATAAATGTCTGGCTCTCTATATAGGTGTTAACAATCCCCTGAGTTTAGACAACGTAGGAACATAGGGCTTATATGGGGAAGACAAGGCATTTTGATGTTTTTTACTACTGCCTCTTTTAAGCAACATATTTAAATAGTCTAAACCACTATATGACATATCTACTGCTTAAATACTTTCTAGATATGCAGATTTAATCACATTTCAGAAACTTGTGATTGCTGCAAATTTGACTGTTCAGGTTTTCTCCTGAACAGACCTATATATTTTTTTTTTTTTATAACCACACTAGTGTCCAGGTAAAAAGTCCCTCTGCAGGAAGTTTTTTGTGTTATTCATAATCTATAAATTGCACAAAGCCATTAGTCAATAAGCTGTTAGTATTCTAAATGCATCCCTTGCTATGACTACAGAAACAACCTATCATTACTTAGCATCATGCACTGCCTTTTATCTCTGCTTCACTAAAAGTCGTCACATATTCCGATTATTACATCTCGTCAGAAACAAAAAAATGTATTCCTGTAGACAGACATACAGATTTAATCCCAAGAGGAGACTGTTGGGAATAGAGTTCAAAGTAACCCTCCTTATATCACAAGTTGCATCTTAAATTTTGCGTGGAAGCTCTACCTACAGTGGCAGTAATTTTTAATTTTCTTTCTGCGTACAAATAGCTTTGTGTGCAGAACTGGGGGAGTTCTGCTACACCACGTACAAAGTACCATGAGCTCAATATATCATGAAAAGTCACATTTCAGTAATACTTAGAAACAGTTTAGTCATCTGTTCTTAGTATGGAATGCATATCTACGCTTGTGTCATCCACAGAGGTTATATTTTGTGACTGTATAACCTCAGGGCAGAAAAGAGCCCGTCATACTTCATGGCAACTCAAATTTCTCATATTAAGCTTGTTCAAAACTACTCTTCTGTTCTTCCTCAGCTATCAATAATAAGGGCTGATTTAAATGAACATCTCAATGTCAGTCTTCCTATCTCTGTCCATAGTATTCAGCAAAACTTTTAAAAGTCATATCCTGAATCCCATCATCTTACATGGATTATTTGCTCTCACCCAGATCTCCCAGGCAGTAGTGCTGAGTGGCAGCGATGGTGGAGCACAGCAGCTCTGAGGTTGCAGTGGCTGCAGGTTTTGCTAAGTGGAGCCCAGCCAATGCCCACCTGCTTTCTCAGTGGTGTCTGTAACCTCCTGGAGGCCAAGGAGCTTTGCTGCATTTGGGTTGATGAAAGACAAAGCCTTTTCCTCCTGTCTTCAGTTCTCATTGAGATTTTAAACACATTAGAGTTGTTCCCTGAGCCCTGGAAAATTCACCTGCTCTACAGTAATAAACCACTATAACCCTCTACTTTGTAAGAGAGAAAAGTAGCTGCTTTCTTGATAAAGCTGCGTTCCTGTTACGCTTTTGAAGTAAATATACCCACCTTGGATTTCCTCAAATCTGGTATTCCTCTAAAATGTGTTTGCTAAGCACTTGTTCCCATTCTTCAAATATACTCCCTCTTTCATTTCCTTATGCTATTATCTGGTTAAAAAACCCTAAAAACCATAAACTAAATCCTTACTGTACATTAGTTTTGGACTATTTCAGCTAATACAGTTGGATTAATTTAAAAAGCTAAAAAAAGGAAAATATTCTCTCTAAAAAGAGAATTCTGTAGTTTCTGACCCAATAATTCAACAAGCAGCCAGGGCTAGAACAAATTATTGCTACTTCTGGAAAGTCAGCATTTGCAAACTTCCAATGGGCTACAGAATTATTTCCAACTTTTGTGAGGTTGCAAGGATGTGGACTACTATTATTAACCTCCTGCCATTCTGCTCAGCCTCCTCATTTGCATTTTGGCATGATTTTAACAGTTAATTTCTCACAAACAAGTAGTGTTAAGAAGTAATGCTTTCTTCCACACAACAGCTAGAAATTATGGCCACCTCTTTCCAAAATCAAAAGTTGTAATAATGACCCAAAAAGCTAAAACAAGCAGAGAAAAAAAAAATTAAAAATCTGTTAATAATTTCACAATTTGTTCATTGAAACCAAAGGCAAAGTACTGACTGAAGAGGCTGAAGTGACCCTAATGAGGGCAGTATCAAGTGCAAGTCAGAATTTAATTTTTTACGTTATAAACAGTATCTACTTGCAGCCTTTTCTGCTGCACTGGGAGAAAAGTGAAACACCAAACTGCTGGCATTGCTAAGGAGTTAAGCAGAAGTAACTAAAGTTTAACTGTGGAATAGGATTCAAAAAGGAGAGTATTTGGTGGTGTGTATTATGTGTTCCTCCTAATACATGTACAAACTTAATATCCAAAATGCACCACTCAGCAGCATGACTTCAAAAACATTAACTCCCTGGTTTTCCTAAGAGATAGTTGACCATGACTGCTAAAATTGTGCAGAACAAGCTGGTTATAATTACATTGATATTAATAGAAAGTTTCAGAGTATAAATCAGGTATATGGCTGTAGCTGGAGTACAGAATAACATGGGATTGAAGCTAAAGGAGCTGCTGAATTATGAATCCCTAGGTAATGAAAAAGTTAAGATCTCCAGTGTCTTCCCTAAGGTTTAGTTCACAGGGAGAGATTAGACAGAAAAATTACCCCCAAAGTGAAACATTATAAGCTATTCATCATTTATGAACCTGTCAGAAAGTCACAGTGTAATTCATTGCAGGAATGAAGAGAGCTGATAATTGCACATACTCTTGTACACAGAGTTTACATACAAAACAAATCCATCACTTGATGTATAACCCATCTGGACTGAAATAAAATTTTAATTATGATGTCTTGGATTCAAGTTGGGGTTCTAGCACTGCAAGGAAGCTTGCTGCCTTTGTGCCTTGTATACTCCAATTTGTTAGTTTAAATAATGAAGCACTTACAGTCTAGGACAACTTAAACAGCTTGCTACCTTTAAATAGCTTGCTCCCTCTCAATATATGACTGGCAACTGCCACCTCCAATACTGCAAGAGATGGGGGTTGGGGAGTGTAAATTTTTCCACAAAAAACCAGCAGGTAACTTTTAATGAAAAAAATCCGCATTTCTTTTAGCTTATCTTTGTGCTTCACTCCATTTTCTGTTATCACAAAGCTGACCCCACTATGCAGCAGAAAAGGACAGCCAATATGTTAACAAACCTCCAAAACCTCCTTCTTTAGCATACAGTAAAATTGGTGAACACAGAGAAGCCTCTTTTTAAGGGACTGAGAGTGAGGAGGTAGAAAAAAATTAATTATACCGTGTACATAAATTGTTGCCAGACATGACAGCAGACAGCAGAACTTTTAATATGAATTTCATAATAGACATTCCTGAGAAGATTTCCTCTGAAAAATACACTATATTGATAATAAAGAAGATGAAGAAGTCTGGTACAGTCTGATGAGTTTTTAAGTCCAGAGTATCACTATCCAAATGCTCTAGGAATAAGTTGTCTCTTGGAAAGGTGTGTTCAGAATAGTCATGTACAGCAGGATCAGTTCTGTCAGCTACAGGGAAATCATCTGAACTTGAAGTCAGTGTATATATTTTAATAAGGTTTTTTAAACCCCTCATCAGCATGGTTTGCACATGCAGCCTTCTCATCAGTCTCTTGCTGCACACATCTTGGAGATGAAAAAAAAAGATCTTCCATATAAAAAGGAAAGCTTCTATTTTAAAAATGAAAGCTATCATTCTTCTGGCAGAAGTTTTGCTGGCAGACAGACCCAGGGATGGATTATAACTAACAGGATGTGGAACAACTGCTAAAATGAAGC